ACATTATGAACAATCTTCCGTAGATATGATGAATATAAGTAATGTCGATAATGGAGGTTCAAGTCTTGGCGAAAGTCGGCATCATTCATTATTTTCACCTCATCATCATCGAGATTTTGTAGTTGATCCAGACATAAAAGACGGTCTCTTGATCAATGATCTCACATCTTCGGAACCTTCACCTGCTTCTCTTGGACAACTTTTCCATTATCCAGTTCCATATCGTCAAGTTAAACGTCGTCGTCGTCTTACAGAAGAAGAAACAAATGTTCTTATTAGTACATTTGAAAAAGTTCAAAAACCTGACGCAGAAATGCGTACCCGATTAGCGGCACAACTCAATATGTCATCTCGTGCAATTCAAGTTTGGTTTCAAAATCGTAGAGCGAAAGTTAAAAGGGATGCTTTAGAATCCAAAAATGCGGCAAAATTCAACAGACCAAAAAAATTAACATTAGCTGCAGAATATTGTCAAGAAAAAAGAATTAATGATTCTGAATCTATTCATTCTTCACCTATTTCTTCGACTTCCTCAATTACCGCTTCACCTACCGATTCTAAAACGCAAGGAATGTCTAGGATTACACCTAATCTTGCAAACATTTCTATAGCTTTAACATCTGATAATGAACATCAATTGGATACGGTAAAAGAAAATAGTCAATCTTTATATTATTCTCAATTGATCTCTAATAATCAGAACAATAATATGATTGGATTAATTCATGAAACTGTTTATGATAATTATTGGAATACATCTTGCGAATTGAAAACTGCCGAAAATGATGAACGATCAATTTATTCTCCTTATTATAGTTCTGAAGGTGATAGTTATTTAATAAATGGTAAAATTTATAAATTATTTCATTCGATTTATTCATATTTACTATATTGATTTTCATGCCAGACTTTGAGACCACACCAGCATCAACGGTGCAATCATTCCCCGAACATGTATATGGAAATTTTTATCAAACAAACGATAATTCTACCGATTTTTTCAATTGGCAGAATAAACAAAATTTGGCGTTATCGTTAATGACACCTCCTGGCATCGACAGAAAAACACCAGTTGCTCCTAACAATACTCCTATTCATAACAATACACCTATTCAAGCGAACGATCGTCTTCTTTCTATTCCTATAACTTTAGAAAGTTTTCCAACTACTCATAATCTTAATTTTTCGGGATCTTTACGTGAACCCGCATGGTTGGTAGACCTAGATAAACCGGTTGTTATCGATAATCCTCCAACATATGAATATCATACTCTTCAAACACATACACCTTCATCCCAAACTCATCCTTCATCAACATCTGTTTCATCCATTTTTACGTCTTCCACCATTGAAGATAATCTAATCGAAAATGATGAATCTACACCAACAACAGCACCACAATCACCGTATTCAGTTTGCTTCGATAACGACGTATCAGTAGCAGCCGACGATGATGATGATGAAATTGATCTATGGGAAACTTTATACAATCAAGAAGAAGTTAAGACTAAACAAAATGACGAAGATTGTTAGATTTTTGATTAAGTATTATTAAATGATAAACTATAAATGATTATTATGTGTTACTTTTATTATTATTATTATTCTTCTTTTATCAGTACTGATATCTTACTAGAGCAAAGTTTTTATACAATCACTATAAATGATTGGCCTAAACATTATGAAATATTCTCATGAACATTCTAAGATGCATGAAGATTGATAACATTTTAATGGGTAGGAATTAGGCGTTTGGAATATACATATATATATATAAGCTTTATATTTGCTTTCATAGCAATGAACACTGTATTCCTTCAAATGTCGTATCTCTCCAAACTTTGTATCTCTCATAGGCTTACCTTATCATAGTTTATGATGTAAATAGTTACAATAAATGATTAAAAAAAAGAACTATGTAAAAAACACGATGATTCTTCATTTTTTGTTTTTTTTTTAAAAAAAAATATAAAACTGTATGTATAAGGATATATTGTATGGTTGACAAATAATTATCTTTCATCGTTTCGTGTAAAATATTGAGCATAATGCGTAATATTTATATTCGTAGAGAAAATTCATATGAAATTCCAAATATATCTAATCTCTCATATCAATACCAATATTGCTATCAGGAATTAGTAGAAAGCAAGATATATGAGATAGAGTTCGTATTATTACATGATGCATAGTTATTATCATAGAGCCAGATCTCTGGTTCCGGTATGTTCCAAAACGTGTTATGATTTCGTTATTTACAAGTCTTGTAATTAGTGTTTAAATATTACAATGACTACACTTCTCCATAATTCTCACGTAAAGATGAAAAATTTTTACGATATAAAATTATCACATGATCTGTGGCGATTTACCAGAATTAAGAAATTTTGGATAATTTTTGTTGTTGTTACACAGAAATTCTCATCTGTTTAAATACACGAATTTTTCCCAGGGATGCAAAACAACAGTCTTCGTACTGCAGTACTGTTCCGCTCTTCGGCTTTTTCTGGCTGGCGTGTTTTTATTCCGAAGATATGCTGTTTTGCCTTCACAAGCAAACAGCTACCTGTCTTCACACTGTGTTCGCTTGGACAGCGTTATCCAAATAGCCCGTCTTTTCCTCCCTCTTTTGACGTACCAACAAGAGGGATAGGAAGGTGTGTTTTGTCTTCTTTAAAATTTCTTCTCTGTCTCACCTTCTGAATAATACTTAGATAAATCGATTTCATTATAACTTGTTGTGTCTATGTTGATAATTTTAATAATGCTTTTAAGGCATGTATGTATAAAGTCTGAGACATGATTTCATAGTTCTTAATGAAGTCGGAATAGGAAAACAAGTGACCTAGATCGCGTGTTTTTTTTTTTAAATCTCTATCTCATCGTTGTTGATGTTTAAGAAAATTTGGTGAGTTTGTTTTTATTTTTCTTTGTTTTCTTGCATTTTTTCTTTCGTTTTTACTCATATAATTTATAATCACTGATGTCATCGTTTTCTGTAATTTTGAAATTCTTGAGGCCTTTTCTTCTCCAAATCACAAGCAAAGACAATAATCGATCATAAAAAAGTATTTTTTAATTTCATAGATTATACTAGTAGTCGAAACACATTATTTTTTGGGTTCGAAGTTATGTTATTTTTCCGAGTCCAAGGTGAACATTGCTCTCTGAGCGTGAATTGGTTAACATTGTGGAGGTGTAAGTTACGCTGGTTGGAGTGAGTCCACAGGGGCCAACTTGTGGAAATCGCCAACCGTAGATCTTCATATTCCGATATTACAACCAATGGTGTTAGGATGGTGTGATGATAACACTTCGTATTCATTATTTATTTTATTTTATTTATTTATTTTTTAATTTTGTAGACCATGCTAATAGTCGAAATACGTTATTGTTTTTTGGGGTCGAAGGTGTGACTGAACATGAACTGTTTAGCATTATGGAAGTGTAAGTTACGTGAGTCCACAGGGTCAATCTCTTTATCTGTTATGCTCAAGGCAACATGGATGTGTTTTCATGGTCAATGCAAAAATCGTTACCGTAAATGTGCATATACAAGATCCCCCAAATAGTAGACCTACCATGTATTAGACCAGCTGTACAAAATCATGTATGCATTTTAAATTTTTTCCTTTTACGATTCAACCTCCCAGTGTGTATTAGACCCGGGTCTTGAATACGCACATTTTACGGTAGTATATAGGTTTTGTTCAAGTCTTGAAAATTAGAATCCTAAAGATTTCATTGACTAGTTGTTTAATAAAGTTTTTGAGATATTAATTTGGATGAATCTGGGATACCGAGGTTAAATCGCATATAATTATCATCAGTTATACGATGCTTAGTAATAAAATTTTTCATTAAAATAGTAAAAGCTAAAGTATAATTAATTTTTGAATGGGAGCTAATAAATTTATATTTTAAAATTAGAATTCTTAAAATTATTTAATCTTTAGAGAGTAATAATATAATCAATTATTAGGATTTAAAATTGGATATTCATATTATATTAAGTAGTGCTTTTATGTGACGTATAGTTAATTATGAAAAAAAAACCATTACCGGTACACTTGATCATTTGGTAAAATCACTAATTCGAATAATTATTTTTCGAGTGTTATAATTTAATTTAATCATGTATGAGCGAAAATTTTTGAATATTGTGATCATTAAAAATTAATACAGTACTGTACAATAGAATTACATATAAAATAATTATAAATTTGCTATCTTTAAACAACGAAAATACGTCATTATATCAAAATATTAGCAAGCAAGGATTCAATTAATTTTTGTTTTTAATCCCGGCAATTACGCAATATCACAAACGATTGGATCAAATTTTATGATCTATTAATTTCATATCGATATCATTTTAGTGAAATTATTTATTAATCGATTCACTTAATACTAGCAATTTAAATATCCTTCAATTACTGTATCCTAACATGTTAATTTAGCGGGTAAATATAAAAAACCTTGGATATTGACTTTATAAAGATACTTATTTTTAAATTAAAACCTTTTATATTCTTAAAATAACACTTAATTATAGTTCTGGCTAATCTCAATTTAAAGCTTTTTAAATGCACTATCTAAAATTAGTAATTCAAGCTTTTTTATATGCGAAGTCTAAGTATACTGATTAATATTCATACTCTCAACTGAGTTAATACGAACATGATGCTTGATTACCTAGACCAAATTAACGTTTTTTCAAATTTTTCGCTTTTTATATATAATTCAAATAATTTAAATTAATTTTTTCGTGATAAAAATCCTGATCATAGTAAAATGAACATCTGCATAGATTAATTACTTAGTCCCTGTAACTAAAGGATTGCTGTTTTAACGGCAGTTTCAATATAGCATTTTTATTGGGATATTCGATCATGCTTAGACGATCATTCATAAAATGTTTTAATGGCTGTGATATAGACATGAAGTTGAGAGCAATTGCAAAATAAAATTCCACAGGACAATATGGAGAGAGAGAAGGAATGGAGTGTTGGGTTAAGGTCGAAGGTAAAACAGAGAAAAAAAAACCCTTATTACTTGAGAATCTGCTAAAAGTTTATGCTGAGCACATGATGTTCCTATTCCTGAGAAGCTCGACACACAACGTTGCTGCAGCAAGCCCTTCTACACGTAATATTCTAAGTACTTTCACAGCAGCCATAAAAAATTTTAACTGAAGAAGTTCTTGATATATGTCTTAACCTTACTCCGGAGTCTATTAAAGGTAGATTACTTACCCTTGAACAACAGGTGACTTCTTCAAACATACTGGCAACTTATTCTCATTATCGGAATCTACTGTTGGATCCAGTAATGAAGGAACCAAGGGCGCAATTTTATGATATTGTAATTGCATGTAAAAAAAGCTTTTTCCAAATTGATATTTTTAGAACTATGCTTGAATTATCAAGTACTCAATTTGAAATTTGTCTTTTCTGGTGAATAAGAATAAATTAGCAATATTTGTTATTAGAAAATTTCTAATTATTTTATGTAAATATTTTTTTTTAAGAGGAAGAACCAATATCTTATGAAGAACAACAAATTGCTAAAGTCTTGGATAAGGCTTATTCGCATCATTTAGAACAAGGAAGCGTTGAAGCATTGCATTCTCATTTACTAAAAATCTTAGTAGTGTTTACCCCGATGTGTTGAATACATGATTGCCAAACTTTATCAACACGATCATTTAAGTTTTCTCCTCATCGATGTTTCCCACTTTGTTAAATTTTGGTTTTGTTCATATATTAGAGTCTTGCATTTTATAATACTAAAAACCGCCATATTGGAATTCTGTATTCATTAAATGTGACAAAAACATTTTCTTGACTATCTGAACTATTTTTCTTCACCCTATTATGATAATCAATAGTTCAAAAGTGCTACAATAAAGAATGTAAGTATGTAATAACTGCAACTATATTATGTACAACTCTTATTAAATTCAATTAGTGTCAAGAATTTCAACTATAATAATTTAATTAGTGATGAGATGATTTTTGACCCAATGAATGCCCTAGGTTAGTAATGTAGTAATTTGCAATTTGCATCAATTAAAAATTAGAGTATATAAAATATATATACTTTAAACATGATTTTACTATGAAAGAACCTATTTTATAGTGTTAGAAAAAGTAAAACAAAATCAAGAGTAAATATTTGCTTTATATAAAAATATAAAAAGCTTGAAATATTTTTATTTTAATTATATAATATTTTTCGGGATTAGAGACTATTTATTTTTCAAAATTATATTAGAAATTCATCTATTATTTGCGTTAAGACTCTATTGGATTCATTGTTGATATCTTTTAATGGCTTTAGAGATCGTCCAAAAACATAGCCAAAATGTTGACACAAAGTAGGAATAACTTGTTCAACAGTAATGATTGCTTTTTTTTCTTCTTTAATATATTCATTAGTTAGAGAAGTCATTTTTTTATCTTCAAGCCCACAAGGAATAATATGATCAAACCAGCTAAGATCAGTGTTACAGTTAAGTGCAAATCCATGAGAGGTGATAAAACGCTGTACTTGAATACCTAATTATTAAAATTTAATTTTCTTTTATGAATAACTACAGGAAAAGTGAAACTAAATTTAAATAAGTCTTACCAATTGCACAAATTTTATCATTTCCAACCCAAACACCTGTATCTTTAGTAGTAGATGCAACAATACCATACGCAGCACATGTATTAATAATTACATGTTCGATTGCTGCAACATAACATCGTACAGAAAGCTTGACAAAAGACAAATATTTAGAAAGTTAGACACATTAAAGTACATAGGATAATAATAATATATTGTAAGTGAAAATGGAACTAAGTTATTAGATTAGAGTTAGGATGAGAATTAGATTTTAGTTGTAGTTATTATGTTCAAATCTAAGTGGATTCCAAATCAATTTTAATTCCATTATCACTTACAATATACAGTATATATAAACGTACCTTAAAATTTTTTAAATTTAAAATTGGGTAACCAACTAATTGACCAGGCCCATGGAATGTCGTTTGACCACCGCGTAAGGTCTATACCTTAAATTAAGTAGTAAACCAATTAAAACAAAAATAGAGAAATTAAAAGCAAACTTACTTCAAAATATTGAGCACCCAGTTTCCTTAAATGTGCCTCTTCATCCATAGTTTTTCCAATATTTCTTCTTCCAGTTGTATAGGTTGGAGGATGTTGTAATAGTAAAAGTAAATCTGAAGAATTTTTATTTTCAAATCGATGTCGAACCAAGAATTTTTGAAGATTAAGTGCTTTCTCATAAGAAATTTGAGAAAGATATACGTAAGGAAGAATGGATGTAGGAATATCTGTGAGAGTGTTGCGAAATGTCGAAAAAAATGATGACATACCGATTTTGATGCAAAAAATACAAAGTAATAAATTAACTTGTTCGGATCATAATTTAAATATACATTCGGTAGTATTATTTTACTACTTTTAGAAGGTAGATCACTGGCATATTTGTTCAACATGCATTTTTTAAATTTTTTTTTAAATACTGTTAACGTTAAAACAGAATAACTACCAATGTAAGATAAAAAAATAAACTTTTGATGCCAATTTTCTATGCTATGATTATGGCCATTCTTAAAAACCTTTATGTAACCAAAACATATTAATAAGATGTTAAGAACAAATAAATTAAAACTAAACTAGATAATTACAATATTTCATTCATAGATTCATGTAGTTAAATTTAATTTCTTTAAATCTTTAACTTCAAATAACCGAGAGAAGTAAATCTTCAAAAAAAAATAAATAAAATAAAATAAAAAAACGTGAGAGTGAGAGTATTTGAAATGATTAGTACTTTATTAAGGACCCTATGACATCAACTATTGCAAGTAACAGAAGAGCATCTCGACGCTTTAATAAAATGTCTGATATTCTAACTCAAATATTCTCAGGGGGCAAACATGAGAATGGTAAACACGCGTTTCATCTAACCGGTATATTACCACTTATTTGTGAACAAGATTAATAAGACTTAGATCTTTTCAATCATCTCAGAAAGGGAAGAACGATTTGTTCAAACATTTTCATGTACAACAATGTTTCCAATACTCAAAATTTTACCAAAACAACCAGCTTTAATTAACTGATTATTCCCATAGTATATCATAGAACTGGTTCAGGATTAGTCTCAGTCTTAAGACCAATCTTAGAACAGTCTTAAGACTAATCTTAGGACAGTCTTAAGACTAATCTTAGGACAAGACCTATCTTAGGACAGTCTTAAGACCTATCTTAGGACAGTCTTAAGACCAATCTTAGGACAGTCTTAAGACCAATCTTAGGACAGGCTGAAAACCAGACCAAAATACACCGGATCAGACTGTTAAAATCTCAGTTAACTAAAAATAATTTTGGATATATTTTTTTTGATACAATTTATAAATTAGGAGGGGAAAAGCTCGGGAGAGTCACACCGAGGATGATTCTACCGGGTTGGTGAAAAGTAACTGAACAGTGGCATTTTTTTAATCAAAATGATTAGTAATCATTGCAATAATTTAAAAATTATTATAATTTTTAATTTATTGCAATGATTACTAATCATTGTGATTAAAAAAAGGCCACTGTTCAGTTACTTTTCACCAACCCGGTACAGTAATATTTGAAATGTCTCTAAGATTATCACTATTATAGGTATTAATTTTAAAGCTTAGTAAGTAAAGTGAAAACATATATAACAGAAAGATTTATTATTATTATTATTATTTTGTTTTACAAATATTTAAGAAAAGTGATAAGCATTAGTTAAATCCAAATATCGAACCTCAAATAATAAAAACAGAAATGAATTAAAGTAATAAAGATGTAAGTAGATTTCTATCGTAATAATTTGTTGTATAATTTGATATATTAACTTCAAGTGGCGGTAAAGTACGATCTGAGTCTGATACGCCAAGAGTAGTTGATCTACTGTAAATTGTTAAAGGTTTAAAAAGTGATGATCTCGTTTCTGATTGATAATTAGATAATGTCGTGGATGAATTAGAATGTGTAAAAGTTGATGAGCATGGTGGAATCGGTGATTTTGGCGCGTTAGGAGTGGCCGAATCAACCAATGACCGAATAGAAGGTAGGTATTTGGATGGAAAAAAGGAGCAGGGAAATATAGAAGAATCAGGCCAGACTTCTCGGTTTTCTTCCAAGGAAGTTGAAATAGAATGATAATTACTTGCATAACTTGAATGTTGATTTTCAGGCCAAAAATTTGAATAATTCGGAGTGGATTGGAACTCTGGAATAGGTGAATTAATGAAACAGCCGTTGCGTAATGTAGAATTTTGAAAATTAGATCTATCAATTTTCTTTCTTGGTTGATAAACATAGTCAGGATAAGTTTCTTCGTGAACTTTTTTGGCTAATTGTGCCAAATAATTGAATACATTTTTCACTTCTGCATTAGCAGTTTTCCAATCTTTTCCAGCAGCTTTTGATACGAAGGCAAGCATCGATTCTTTCATTTTTGGATCTAAACCGGTTGCCATTTTCGCTTGTTCATTCCTACGAAATATCACAAAAGGATTTTGTGGACGTGGAATCTTTTGTCTATTACGGTTCTTTTTTGGTTTTGGAGCGATTAAATCTTTAATTTCTAGATAAGTATGTTGTCTGATCTTTAAAATTACAGCTGGATCAATGGACGCAATAATTTGGTTGACGAGATCATCATTTGGAATACAAACATTGGTTTGAGGAAAAGGTGCGAAGATTGGTACGTTTTCGATTCTACTCCGTTGTGACATATTTTTCAAAATTAAGTCTCGATGAAATGATATCAGAAATATATATATATATATACCGTATATATAAGAATAATGATTTACAAGAATTCGCCTTTTTTTTTTTTTTTTAATTCAAAGACGAAAAAAAAAAGTTTTGTATTTAAATGTTTTGTTGACAAAAACATGTGAACTTAAACATAATTGGTGAATGTTACAGTATCTTTTATCTAGTATTGTCCGAAAATCATCCCGTGAATTAGCAAGATTCAATTCATTCTAGTGTCATTGTTCCTATGAACGAATGCAAATTATGAAACATGTCATTCTTGACTATTCAACAAAAGTTATAGTGATTTTAACAATTCATTGGCTTAAATCCGATGAGTGTAGAAAATCTCAGATAACACTATGTATTAAAATATTATCATAACAATTATTTTTTCTCTAATAAAAAAAAAATAAAAAAACAATACTTTTTTTTTTATAATGGCGATTATTAAGATCAATATCAATTTTCCGGCTTGATTTTCCGGAGAAATCATCTTTTTGGGCGTATGCAGAGAACAATGCACCGACATTATTTAGCTAATAAGTGTATTGTTTCCCATAAATACAAAAAAAATAAAAAAAATAAAAATAAAATAAATCGGTTTTTTTGGTTAAAATTTATTTGATTTTAGTAAATCAAAGTCCGATACTTTTCAACTAAATTTTGTGGCATTGTTTCTACCGTTTTAACAAGAACAATAGTGTTTATCGATTAAAGACAATACAATACAATGAATCATTTGATATCCAAATCGATGGTAGTCATGCTGATTTCTAATTTTTGCACTTTGTATTGTTAATGCTATGAGTGATCGTATGATCGAATAATCCGGATCCGACGATCATCTAATCCGAACTGTTTCACATTATACTATTATATAAATCTCGGCTTCGGTTCAACCCCGGGTTTTTCAATCCGAATTGAACTATAATCAGGTAACAGAAAACGGTACGTATTGCATCTTTGTAAAACCTTAATAAGTAATAAATAAATGCTACGTGTTAAAATTAAATAATCGATGTTAGAGAATATAATCGTAAAAAAAGATTTATAATGGAAACATCACACAAAATAGCACGTATCATGAAATTGTTAACACCTGCGTGCTTTTGCATATTACTGTACTAATAAAAGATTTCTGTTTGTGTCTAATTTTATGATTTAAGGTTTGACTTTTGTAACATAAAATAGATGTAAAATTGACCTTACTCGAATAATAAAATCCTTGTTATTCTCCAAAATACAGAAATATATCACCCTCGTCATATGTAATATACAATAAATAAATTTGGTTTTGTGGTTGTGATTATGCTTATTTATTTATTAGAATAAGATAATGCGTAATTATGTTCTGAAATATAGTAAGAACCATGAGGGCTAACGACATATGGTAAACCATTTACTGTGCCACTGCCATTGTTTCTATCTTGATACATCAAATATGATAAATTTAATGTGAATCAGGAACGATACAAATCGAATGGCCGGCGTTTATGTCGTTTTAGCTCTGATGAGAATCGATATAATATTTATCGTTTGGAATTCGGTTTACTGATTAAGCGGTTTAATGTAAAATTTATTATGTTCATACTGATTCTATATGATGAAAGTCCATAGATTCATTAGGAAGTTTTAAAATCAATAATAAACTTGTTTAATTTAAAAGAATAAACATTGTATCTTTAAAATAATAATCAACATAATTTACAACTAGATATTTAACAACTTAGTTAAATAACATGTTGTACATTGTATATTAATGTTTTATACATTGCAATGTTTAATGATACCCCGTTTTTCAATTATTGATTAACCCGGGTTAATCATCCAGATTTATTGTTTTTTTTTATAAATTCATGATGTTAGTAATCTTTATAATAAACCTATATAGTATATTATGTGTAATTCAAATTGGAATATTATGTGATTTTTAATAGTGGTAAAAGGCTATTTTAACTTTCAAAAATTTTGTAAGGTTAATATTCAAAAAATGTACAAATATAACATCGTTCTTAAATCTTATAACTATTAGACGTATAATATTACAGATCAAATTTGTTATTTGGTCCAAATATATACATGTAAATTATAATGTATATGAAAATGATATTGTATGACAATCAAGATTTTTCAAATTTACTAAAACAATATTTCCAGTTTCAGAAAATGATGGTAACAAAATTATTCGTACACGCTGTTGTTCTGGCCCTAATCATAAATGTATAAGGTTAGATATTTTATCTTATAAAATTTTATTTTATAAATTTTATACAGAAATCAATTACCTTTTATAATAGTTGTAGCGAATTCTTTCTGATTTCCGACAAAATATACGTGTGGCGTTTGTTTCATTATAAAAGGATCACACTCTCTGAATGGATGACACCCTATTTATTGAATTCTATAATAAGTCGTCATTATACAGTCAAGAAACAATTTATCGGATTACTAAACTTACAAAGAGTATCTGGAGTAGTCGGTGCAGCATGTCTCCAATATAACGTTTGCTCAGCTAATTTAAGTTTATCTTCACTGTTTACATATTTAGCAATGTCATCAATTGTTTGACCTGATGTACCAAAGAATCTAATAAATAATCCAAATCAGAACTAGCAACATGTTATTCAGCATTTAGAAAAGATATCATTAAAACATACACAACACCATCAATCTCACACCAATAAGGATTTGTAACGCGGCGAAAAGTTGAATACTGGCAAGATTTTGGTAATAGACTTGGTATAATAGGTTGTTGAGGCAAAAATGTATTGACAGGATCATTACTTCCTGGCATTATGTCAACGGGTATTTCTGAACAAATTTCATTAAGGGTATTGTCTAAATCAAAAAGCGGTTGAGCATTGTATGATGAACTATCATATCCATACTTTTTCTATTAAATAAGTAACAATAAGCATTATTAACACCTTGCAAAAAAAAAAATAAAAATGAAGAAAAAAAATTAAAAAAGGTATTTAAATTATCCATTCTTTTGGACTGCATACTTCTTTCTTGTCATCTTCAACCACCTTTACTTCCTGCAAACTACTACCAGCAACTATCATTAGAGCTATTTTGGATGTAAAATTTTGCTCCTAATGATTTAATATCTTATTAATCAATAAGGCACTGATTTTAAAAAACTCAACAGATTTTTGCTGCCATTTGTTCTTACAAATGAATCTCCTAATTCGCCATTAAGATACTCTGTCATCATTTGTAATTGTAATGCCGATGAATAATTTGGTCCAATATTCATTCCGCTTATAAGTGCGATATATTTATCATCTTAAGAAGGTAGAATATAAATAACTATTCAGAGAAATGTCTAAAAATATGAAATCTGCTACTATACCTGTAATAATTGGCATTGGTTGTTGATATGGAAGTCCAGCAACACATATGTCACTGACTTCAAAATTTCCATCTGAACTTTCTTTTCCTAACACTGCCATTATTACACCTAAAATTGAACCATGTTTACCATTAATAAACTCAAATTTGATTTTAATAATAATTCTTGGGACCTACCTGTTACTATATTTTCTTTTTTTAGAATATCACCAGTCAGTTTGATTCTTCCTGATTCGTCTTCCAAGAAGAATTCATCATCATCATTACAATATTTTTGACGTGGTGGAGACGGTGGAGCCCAATGCTAAAAGATAAAATTACAAAATTTTAATTATAATATTTAAACCAATTTAGAAATTTATACTGTTAAATCTTACTTCTTTTGTAACATCATCAAGAATATTTGGTTTGAACCGCATTTCTATATAAACAGTTCCAACGATACAACACGTCATACCAAACTTTACATCCAAAATTTTGTTAACTGTATCAGCTTTTTTGACCAATGGTAATTATAAAAAAATTACTTAAACAGACATGACGCGAAATTCAAATTAGTTTCGTCAAAGAAATTCAAAAAATTGAAATTTCACCTGTATTTGGTTTTAAAATGGTTTCCCATTTTTTTTGTGCTGCATTTAATACATAAGTTCTCAGTCCTAATAGTCGTACATAATATAAATTCGCATATTGTCGAAATGTTTTTTCTTTAATAAGCAGTTCATCGTTAAGTGTAGCCATGTCATTATAGGTAACTTCGACGCGTTTAGTCATCTTGCTAAATTAATGTACATGATAAGTTTATCGGCTATTTAAGAAATTTATGCATCTCTGTGTCCCATCAAGAGGGTCCGTCCCATTATTTGACACAAGAACTTTTTATAATGACCTTTACACCTTTACTGTAAAACATAATGCAATTACCTGGATATTTCACATTCTACATAGATAAACATTAAACATTAAACATTTGATTTATATCCCGGATATTTTGGGTGGTATTATATAAAGAGAGCATAATACCAGGGTTGATATATAGTGATGTCGGTCCAAAAGTATCGTTCTTGATGTATAATTATTGCGATCAAAAGAGTCGACCAGGGCGGCCCTCCAAAGTGCAGTTACATGAGCTCATATAATGTAGAATTACAATCGACAAGATATCGATAACCTTGTCGATTGTAATTTATATTATATGGACTCATATAATTGCACTTTGGAGGGCTACCCTGGTCGACTCTTTCGTTCGCAATAATTATGTCATGAACAACACTTTGGATCACCAGAAATTACTATATTCCTGATAACTCATTAGAAAAAAATCAAAATTGCAATCAGTATCAATTTCTCAATTAAAATTTACTGTGCAGATACTTCACAGTTTATAACTTTCTATGCGGCAAATACAACGAGAAACTGTTTGCAATTGTGCAGTATCCAGACACCTATTCAAAAAAAATATGCATACAGTAAAACCTCTCTAAGTGCACGCCCTTAGGACCAAGCTATAGCGTGCATTTAGGGAGGGTGTGCATTTATAGAATTAGTATTTTTTCCTACTCTACTACAACAATTAACTGTATTCTGAGTCTTTCCAATAACCATGCTTGTTTTTATATTTATTTAGTATTATCTACCTCTTCCATTCCAATTGGTAGATGTTTATGTTGGTCACGTGTGTGCATTTATAGAGGGTGCCCGGGCTGTAAAAACCTATGCACGTGCAGAGGTTGGAGGGTAAGGTTGCCTGCCGTAATAGGTTCAGTGAAGTTGGAAGGTTGCAACCTTTTATTCTAAAGTTGTAATTTTTTGTCGTAATGGGTGTAATGATCGTAATTGGTATAATGGTTGTAATGGGTGTAATAATTGTAAGAGGTGTAATGGCTGTAATAGACGTAATGAGTCTGGTTAAATCGAGTCAAGCAGGATTAATTGCTTATAAGCAAAGATAATAGCTACAATCTGATCAAGTTATTTATATTTATAAGGCATTGAAAGAGAAGTCGAAATTAAAAGTATAAACACAAAGCATCACTTTACTTTTCAAAAATTTGCAGGTGTGAGTAATGCCTATAGAATTACTACACTTGAGTTGAAAGAATGAATGTATATAAAGCATCTACATTTTATCAAAAATCTGCAAATATAAGTGATGCTAACATGTTATACTTACAAACCGATCAAGATTAATAAAATATCACATATTTAAGTTTTTGATTTGCACTTTAATAATTCGATTGTTATTATCATAATATATCGATCACTTATAATCATTATGGCAATTACAATCTATTACAGCAATTACAACGATTATGATAATTACAACCATTACGGCATTACAACAATTATGACCATTACGACATATTACAAATTTTGGTCTAAGCATTAAGTCCCAAGCTTGAAACCGGGCTATAGTGTGCACTTATAGAGGGTGTGGACTGCATTTAGAGAGATTTTATTGTATTTAAAATCCGTGCTTAGTTTGTGGCATGTAATAATAATCTAACTTATAGGCTAACATTTATATGATTGGTTGATTTTTGTAGATCTACTCATGATTTTTCATAATAATTAACCAATTAAATTATATAATTCTTAAAAATTTATTATTTAATACTACTAATAGAAAATAAAAAAAACATCATACCATTAAAAAATCACTCTTTTCGATGATCACTAAAACCAAATTTTCTCACTAATAGAAAAATAAAATTTTTTGTTAGAGAGTCATGGCCTACATTATGGTTTGTCTAGAGGTCAACATTGCTGTGCGAGACTCCTTTAAAGAGACATTTGGCATGCAAGCCAAGAGCATTTTTATACAAGATAACTGACAAGAGGTGCCCTTGTATAAAAAATCTTGGTGGAGTGTAGGTAAAGAGCTTACTTTCGTTGATGAAGTTTCTAGGTCATTACTTCAAAAAAAAACACAGAAGAAATAGCAAAACTTTTACTTTTCTAAAGTTGCACTCTCTCTTTTGGGTTTGGTAGCTCTTCTCTTTCTTTTTCTTATCCTTCCATTAGTCTTCCAAAATTTTCTACAAAATGTGGGATTTGACTTACTTCTCCAAAAGATTGGCATTGTTTACTTTCCAAATTCGGATAGACTTAGTAGAATGCAACTACGTGACATGTCTGTTTATAAATATAGTGCTACTCTGGGAAAGTTAAATCAAAACCTCTAGTTAAAGAGATATTCAAAAGTGGTCATAAGTCAGAAGAACTTTATATATTAAGACAAAGCTTTATATTAGAAATATACAATTGTTGCATTTGTTATATAATTTTTTAGCCTTGTACAGATTATAATAGTGCATTCTTAATATATAGAGAGATGTAATCTCTCTCAACTTTATATTCTGGTTCTATAAAATTTTTTTTATTTTTTTTTTATTTTTTTTTGGGGGTTTTTTTATTTTTTATTTACTTCACTCTTTTTCTTTTTCCATCTTTTGTTTATTTCCCCTTCTTAGTCATAGTTCATTTTCATTTTTTTATAGAATTTTTTTTTGGATAATTCCAGTCATCCGTAATCCGGTAGAATAGAGTTACATTTAGGCCTGAGTTAGATTTTGCACTGCAATATAGAACCAAGTGAAGTCAGACTTCTTATCATAAATTTATTTTTATTTTTATTTTTTTTTAAGCAGTCTTGTCTTTATTTATTCGAACAACTTTCTAGACTAATAACATGTACATAATCTCTTTGAAGTTTAATGTTCTGATCTAATAAAAACTCATCAAGCTGAAGCCCAATGTGACTTGCTAAAACAACAATTAGTCTTTTTTAGAATCCTTAACTTGCTAAGGATTTCGTACCAACTTGGGTACACCCCTTGATTACTGATAGGTTGTTGTTCACCATGTCAAGACTGAATTTTTTCTCTTCTAATTTTTCTCTCTTCTCAAAGAGTACAAGATAAAGGAGGTAAAAAACAAAAGGAATTTTTCCAAGAAAACAATCAAAAAAGAAAAAACAAAAGAAAAAGAAAATAAAAAGTACAGATTGTGAAAAAAGAAAAAAACAGATAGGAAGAAATAAGTCTTAACAGAAATATTAGGTTGTTGTAAAAATTATATAATACTCTTCTATTTAGCTCTACTCTAAATAAAGTCTATATTATATTTAAATCTACCTTCAGAGTAGAGTTAGCTCTGCAAGAAATTCTTAGATAATTCTCTACTTCGTATCAACATTAGTCATTATCCTATACATAGACTTGTAACTCTTGTTTACCTTCTAATTTGTATTCCACCAATAGCAGTTCATCTGGTACTAAAATAGCACAATACATACTACCAGTTACCATAATTGAAAGTGTCACATTCTGCATCAGAACCTGTAAACAATACAAATCTTTTGGAGGGGGTAAGCCGATTCTCCCACTTTTTGTTAGCAAAAAATTTTCTAAAAAATCTAAAACCTAGCAAGAATATGGTTGAAGGTGTATAGCTACAAAAACTTTAAAATTTTCTAAAGAGTTGTTGAAATCTCAAGTTGTTTGTTGTTTCTCCTGTGTTCTTCCAAGAAGTAATAGCCTAAAAGCTTCATTAATGGAGAAGAGCTCTTCATCCCTCTACTAAAATTTTTTATTCAAGGGTATTACCTGCCAGTTATCTTGAATATCAACACTCTTGGCTTGCATGCTAAACAGCCTAAAGAGAAGTTCTGGACAGAGAAAACCATTAACCTCTTGCCAAACTGCAAGTTAGGCCACGAATTTCCAACAAAAAATTGTTTTTCGTTAGCAGAAAATTTGGTCTAGATAATCGACATAAAGAGTTGTGTATGATCATAAATTTATATACTGTATTTATATTATTATAAATATTAATAAATAAGATTAGTCATGACAAGACCCGTCAACAATTCAAAAAAAAAAAAAAACCATTATACAGTGTAGGCATCCTTAAATCAACATATAAAACACATGATTTTTAAAAGCTTATAAATAAAAAACTAAAGTAGATACAGTCTACTCTTTCTATAACGAACCCTCAATTCTGGCCAAAAAAAAAGTTCATTATATAGAATTACTATGTTTTCTTAATAGCCGTAGCTCTTGTTATACCGAACTAATATTAAAATTTAGAAAATTTGGGTTCATTATATCCAGAGTTCATTATAAAAAGGTTCGTTATATCCAGAGTTGACTGTATTAACAAAATCTCTTTGTAAAATAATAAAATCAAATCTAAAGAACAAAGTTACAAAGTTTATTTTTTAGTTAATTATAATTTTATTTGGTTAAATTGTTTTAAAGTTAGTATAGAAAGAGTTAAAATCCTATAGTATAGTGGCCTAGGTGCCTAACCCTCTACAGACAAGGTTAATAGTTCAATTATAGCTGGTGGTAATTAAATTAATTAATTATCTCTGTAATCTATAAGAGCTTTCAAATACGAAACCCTATGACAATAAGACCATGTGAAGTACATATTTGATCTATAAAGAATTCTTGGAAGAAGTTCTGAGCCATAGAGAAGACTAGGCACTGCATGTAACATGGTATCACAGAAAGTAATACTGCATAAGGCTGTGCATATAAATCCTTGATGGCTAGATAGCACTAACAACCCTAAGGTGGTCTTGGAGATCTTGATTGAAAGAATGGCTAAATGCAGTATATCTGAAAGCAGTGAAAGAAGTGGCAAATACAGTAAGGGGCTATAATAAAAGAATAGCTTTATCAAATAAAGAAACATCTCTGGTACACAAGATTAGAAAATTGGAAAACTAATAAATAACACTGCATATCACAATGTCGATAATA